TGACAATAAACAATACTTGCATGATTCACTTCTGATGAGTATTATACCTTCAAATAAATACACATCGAACGATTTAAAACAACTTGATCAGCCATTTATTTATTGGATGATGGTCAAATTAATTATAATTCATTTTAAATGTGATAGAGACGTTCATAAAGAACTTTTAAAAAATTTAGCTGAATTTTCTCGTGAATATTATTTGAATAATATAAATGAATTAAAGCTTATAGATGAATTTGAACAAAATTATCATGGACATACACCGATTTGGTGGTATACAATGACTAATTTTATTCGCGTTATACTTAATCGAGCAATCGAAACCAAAAATATCGAAATTCTTATTAAAATGGCATTTTTTATAAAAGATCTTTATCAACAATTAGAAATTTTACAAATGGATACAATAAAAACAAATAAATTACCAATAATTTGTTATCGAAATCATCAAGTTACGAATGAAGAGTTTGAAAACATTAAAAATAACAAAGGAAATCTTTTATCATTTAATAATTTTATCATAGCAGATTCTGATCACGACATGCAGAGTAATTCAAAAAATCACATGGTTAATATTTTATTTCGTATTAAAATTGAATCGAAACGTACGTCAACACCTTTCGTTTCCTTTCAAAATGATAGTGATTCTGTTGACGAACAGAAATCTTTTATTTTTTTCATGCATAGTATATTTCGTATTGTTGATATGAAACAAATTACAGAACGATCATGGGAAATAGATCTTACGTTAACATCACATAAAGATGAACAAGTAAAATGTCTTACTGATATAATACGACAGGAAACTCGAGAAACAGTTGGTTGGTTACGACTTGCACAATTAATGTCTGTTATGGACGATTTTGATCAAGCAAAAGCTATTTATTATAAACTATTTGAATTAACACCAGAAAATGATATATTCACACGATCACGTATCTATATTGAATTAGGAAATATTGATAATGCAGTTGGAGATTATAAATCAGCACATGCATTTTATCAAAAATCAATCGATATTCAACAACAACAACAATCTTCTGGTCATCATTTACTTCGTTCTTCTTATAATAATTACGGTGAAGTTCAAAGGCAACTAGGACATTATTCTAATGCACTTACGGCGCATGAAAAAACTTTAAAGATGAAAAAACAATATCTTTTTCCAACTGATTTATCATTAGCTGTTACTTATAATAATATGGCATTAGCTTGTGAATCACTTGCTGATTTTGCAAATGCATTAAAATTTCATGAACAAGCACTTTCAATCAAAAGAAAGACTCTTCCATCTCATCATCAAGAGTTCGGTACTACATATAATAATATTGGTGAACTTCAACGATTAATGGGATATTTTTCTGTAGCGTTACAAAACTTTGAAAAAGCATTAAATATTCGTTTAAAAAAATATTCTACTAGTGATGGACCGGTAGCTATTGTTTATAATAATATTGGTCGACTTTATTGGGAACTAGGAGATTATGCTCTGGCAACATCATATTTACAAAAATCACTTGATATTAAATTAAACACAAATTCATCTAATCATCCATGGTTAGCTTGTACTTATAATAATATCGGTGATGTTCATCAACAAATGGGAGAATATACCGATGCACTTTCTTATTATCAAAAAGCACTTGAAATATTAGAAAACGCATTTTCAGCAAATCATCCTGAAATAGCTGCAACATATACAAACATGGGTCGGGCTCATCGATCTTTGGCTAATTATTCAACTGCTCTTTCATACTATCGAAAAGCAATTGAAATACAGCAAGAAACACTTCCTAGTAGTCATCCATCACTTGCAATATGTTATAACAATCACGGTCATGTATATCAATTAATGGGAAAATATCAAACTGCATTGGAATATTATCAAAAGGCACTTGGAATTCAAGAAAAATCTCTTCGTGAAGGTCATCCATCGTTAGCTGCGACTTATAATAATCTTGGAGATGTTGAAAGACAATTAGGAAATACTACTAAAGCACTTACATATTATGAACAATCACTTGATATTAAAAAGAATTCTCTTCCATCTTATCATCCAACATTGGCTATCGCATATAATAACATTGGTGTTATCTATCAATCAATAAACAATTACTCAACTGCACTTGAATATTATCAAAAAACAGTGGAAATTCAACAGACAACTCTTCCATCTCATCATCCTGATTTAGCTGTTTTCTATATTAATCTAGGAGCTAATTATCAGTCAATGAAAAAATATGACACTGCACTTGAATATTTTGAAAAAGCATTAGAAATTCAAAAGAAAAGTCTTCCAGCTACTCACCCTGATATTGCTGTTACGCATACTAGTATAGCAACGGTATATGTACATCAAGGAGATTATAGATCAGCTTTAAAACATGAACAAAGTGCTGTTGATATTGCCCGTAAAACTTTTGAACCCGATCATCCTAATGTCCTAATATTTCAAAGTTATCTTGAACAAATACGTGAGAAAATAAAATAAATCAGAACAATATAATCTGTTATTTATTTCATTGCGGCAGAATGTTTTGATAGGTTGTATTTTTAGTAAAATAAATTTGTATAGAAAATTCGTTGAGAGTGGGTGTGGGTATAATATATAAATATCACACTCACACCCTCAATTTAAAAAGTATTCATCCGATGTTATACAATATGAATGATATTTTAATAAGGGCTATCAAATAATATTTTTTCCATATATAAGATATTAATTAAATAACTGTTGGTGCTTTTTAAAATAAATGTAAATTGTAAAATAATTTGAATTAAATTTCAGCAAAAGTCTTAAAAAAATTCAAAATATAGAGTGTCGATGTGAGACATGGATAGAATATCCAAACCCACACCCTGTCTTGTGCCACAATTTCTCAGTGCTATTATGGACGCTGTTTTAATTTCTTATAAGTTGAAATAATCTGCATGAACATCTTAGTTATCGTAACACGATGAATCAAGCAAATTGTGCTTCAAATTGAACTCTTTTCTATCCAGCTTTTAATGACAATATCAAAATGTGTATGACACGAAGAGTTTAATCAATTTAAAAAATGAGTTGTATTTTTTCTATGCTACCTCGTTGGTATCTTCGTTCTATATCATTGAGAATTTGACAAAGATCCTACAAGGATTCTTTGTGTATTTGGTTGCAGGAAGTGAGCAGAATATGCAGACATTTTCTACGAACAAAACTTACTCTCATTCCTACATTCTACCTCCTGAAAAAACTGTTTTTTGTTTCTATTGTTACATTTTTTCCCGGAAAAAATTTGTCCATCATTATAATTATATTCTCCTTTCAGCGAAAAAACTTATTTATTCTCATCTTCAGACTCTTTCCCAGAAAAAACTTGTTTATCATCTTGCTTACACTCTCATTGGCAGATGTATTTTTCTTGCTCCCATTCCTATACCTTCCTTCCTGAAAAAAAACTATTTCTTTTTACTTTAGTCTTTTACGTAAAAAAAACTTGTCTGTCATCGTTCTTACATTCTCAATATCAGAAGAAACATTTGTTTTCCTCTCGTTGTTACATTTTCTTTTCCAGAAAAAATTATTGTCATTCTCGTACGAAGAAAAGAAAATTATTTCACAACCCAGTAGTAAACAGTAAGTGTGATGTTATTTTTCTTGTCTTCCAGTAAACAGATGAAAAGACCAAAGATTGATTTGAGTATTTATCGATTCAGTAGAGTTTTTAACTAATCGTGATAGTAAGGGTGAGCACAACAGTCTCATCTTCATATACCTAAGCGTGAGTATAAAAGAAATAATCTACTTCACCACAATAAGTAATGTGATAAATACAAAAGTCGAAAAGTTAGGCAATCGAATACTTCGATGGTTAAAGTCTCCGTTGCATGAAACGGTAACTGAAAGATTGAACAGATAAACACCTCGTTAAATACGTGAAAAGTGAAATACTCGAACAGTTGAATCAGTGAATAATTGAGTAGTATATAGACGCTCTTAACCACTATACTATACGGAAAGTATTCTTTTACTTTTCTGTTACGAACGTTATTTTTTGTTACTCATTGGATCTTGATTATGTCTGTCATCAACTAAAGACCTATTCTTTAAAACTTTTCCGACATGATATTTGTTTAGCAAAATGAAGAACTAGCTTATCAGAAAATGTAACAGGACTTTACCGCACTAATTCTATTAGCTATGATCAATTTCTCTGCAACGGATAAAACACAGATACAGTATGCAAAAAGTTACATAGTATTCGAGATAATTCTCTTATACTATCCGATTTAGTTAAGACTAAAACGCAAGACTGTACGAAATCTAGGCTTCAACTTTAAACGGGTCTTAAGAAGTTATAAGGATGAATTACAGATATGTCATGAGAAGCATACCGAAAACCTCCGTATACCCTACAAAAAGTTGTGAGAATCATCCCTAAATATCCCTGGAAAACTAAAAGAAGCATTCAGAAGTTGCTCACTAAAGCTAGTTCATTACTGCTGGGAATGATGGAGTCGACCTGGAAATCTTGAATATTTCTGCCATTTGGCTGAAAACTATTTCTAGTTAGTTTCTCGTTAATTTTTAATTAATTATAGCTAAGTAGTAACCGATAAAATTAGTTCAGAAAAAGAATACCTAAACAATCAAGGTGAGACACAAGCTCGGTATCTGTCTTTATTCTTCAATTTATCCATATATAAAAGATAGGTAAAATATGAGCTAATGGACTCTAGTTTGGCTAATGCCAATTTTGGGTCACTTCTTACGATCCCAACAAATCTGTTCCTTTTTATATGTTTCTTGCTTTCCACAATATTATTTACAAACATGCCTAGGTGGAGCTTGTCCTTGAGCAACTATAAAAACATACAAACATTCGGAGTCGCCGAAAAATCGAGAAAAAACAAGTCACTGCCTACATAAAGAAGAACGGTGATCATTCGTTTCATTCAAACAACAACGTCTATTAACAAGTTCACATTCAACGACAAATTAAAACAAGATCAGAATGAGCGGATCAAAACCAACTCAAAATGCTGGTGTACCATCCAACAAGATTAAAATGAGCCCATTAAAATCAACTCAGAATGCTGCTGCATCACCCAACAAGATCAAAATAAGCGGATCGAAACCAATTCATAATACTACTACATCATCCAACAAAATCAAAATGAGTAGATCAAAATCAACTCAAAATGCTGCTGCATCATCCAACACGATTAAAATAAGCGAATCAGAACCAATTCATAATACTGCTACATCATCCAACAAAATCAAAATGAGCAGATCAAAATCAACTCAAAATGCTGATGCATCATCCAACAAGATCAAAATGCGTGGATCCGAACCAACTCAAAGTACTGCTGCGTCATCCAAATCAACAGCATCATCAAATATTAGCCAACCTCGACAACGTATGGCACAAAATTACCTTCTCATCTGGGTAGACGCAAGCATCGACGAAACAACCAAGGACTGCCAGAACACACTGGTCCAATTGAAGAGTGTGGTCAACGATGTCAACATATGCACAGAACCCGATCAGTGCGTCCAAGCACTCAACAAGGTTGACAAGGAACAAGCCTTTGTCATAATATCAGGCTCGTTAGGTCAACATTTGGTTCCTGAAATTCATGGCATGCCACAGTTAGATGCCATTTACATTTTTTGTGGCAATAAATCTAGACATGAGGGATGGGCTCAAAACTGGACAAAAATCAAAGGTATCCATACAAATATCAAAGATATTTGTCAAGCATTACAACTGGCAGTTAAACAATGCGACCAAGACACAATTGCCGTAAGTTTTCTCACGAGGAATGAAATAGCTTCAACTGATAATTTAAATCAGTTGGAGCCAACTTTCATGTATACCCAACTGTTCAAGGAGATTCTCTTTGATATGGAATACGAGGAAAAGGCAATCAAGGACTTAGCAGTTTGTTGCCGTGAAGTCTTTACTGACAATACAATTGAATTGAAAATTATTAATGAATTCGAACGTGACTATCGTCCACAAAACGCGATATGGTGGTATACACGTGAGTGTTTTACCTACAAAATGCTCAACCAAGCACTTCGAGTTATGAATGCCGATATAATCATAAATATGGGCTTCTTTCTACGTGATGTACATCAACAAATTAAGCAGCTGTACGAACAACAAGTCAGTAGTTATGGACGAAAGCCTTTTATAGTTTATCGAGGACAAGGTCTTATGAAACCAGACTTTGAAAAACTTCAGAAAGCAAATGGTGGACTTATGTCATTTAACAATTTCTTGTCCACGAGTAAAGATAAAGAAGTGTCCCTCGAATTCGCTCGACGTGCTTCATCAAAACCGGATACGGTTGGCATCCTTTTTATAATGTCTATTGATCCTTGTATTAAGTCAACACCATTTGCCTGTATTACTGAACTTAGTTATTTCGAGGCACAAGAAGAAGAAATTCTCTTCGCGATGCACACCGTGTTTCGAGTGAGTGCAATTAAGCAAATGGACAATAAGAATGAACTTTATCAAGTCGAATTAGAATTAACATCAGATAATGATCAACAACTACGATTGCTTACCGATCGGATACGAGAAGAAGCTGGTGGTGGCACCGGATGGCAAAGATTGGGTAATTTATTGCTTAAAATTGGTCAATTTAATAAAGCTGAAGAGCTTTCTAATGTATTACTCGAGCAGACATCTGATGCGCGTGAAAGGACGCATTATTATAATCAGTTGGGATGTGTCAAAAATAGCCAGGGTGATTATGAAAAGGCGATTTGGTATTACGAGCAAGGACTTGAAATCTGTCAAAAAACTCTTCCTTCAAATCATCCTGATTTGGCTACTTCATACAACAACATCGGTAGTGTGTATCACAACATGGGAGAGCACTCGAAAGCACTTTCATATTACGAAAAAGCACTTGAAATTGAAGAAAAAACTCTTCCTTCAAATCATCCTTCATTGGCTATTTCATACAGCAACATCGGTAGTGTGTATATCAAGATGGGAGAGTACTTGAAAGCTCTTTCATTTCACGAAAAAGCACTTGAAATTCGACAAAAAACTCTTCCTTCAAATCATCCTGATTTGGCTACTTCATACAACAACATCGGTATTGTATATGACCACATGGGAGAGAACTCGAAAGCACTTTCATATTACGAAAAAGCACTTGAAATTCGAGGAAAAAGTCTTCCTTCAAATCATCCTTCATTGGCTACTTCATACAACAACATCGGTAGTGTATATGACCACATGGGAGAGAACTCGAAAGCACTTTCATATTACGAAAAAGCACTTGAAATTCAACAAAAAACTCTTCCTTCGAATCATCCTTTATTGGCTGCTTCATACAACAACATCGGTAGTGTGTATGACAACATGGGAGAGTACTCGAAAGCACTTTCATTTCACGAAAAAGCACTTGAAATTCGACAAAAAACACTTCCTTCAAGTCATCCCGATTTGGCTACTTCATACAACAACATCGGTTTGGTGTATGACAACATGGGAGAGTACTCAAAAGCACTTTCATATTATGAACGTGCTCAGGACATAAACCAGCGTACATTACCTCCAACTCATCCTCATATAAAAATTACGAAAGAGAATATTGAAATTGTAAAAAAAGAAATTATAAATAATAAGCGATGAATAAATGAATCTTTTGCTCACTCGTTTTTGAAGTAATTCTAGTTTGTAGTGACTCGCGCGTACAGATAACAACTCTGTAAATAGTAAAAATGTAATGGGCAAAGCCGACTGATTAGGTAATACACACACATACGTATGTGTATAAATGACCTTTTCAGACATATTTACATTTCTAATTCTTTACGAGAGTGTTCCCTATAATAATAAGAAGAATAACTTGCACGGAACTAAATTAGAATAGTATTGAACGAGGCCTCGTATGATGAAGAAAAAGTGAAAAGCTGCAATATATATATATCGATACGTCATCAACGTATGGTCTAATCGAATCAATCAATTAGTATTCATCATTAATAAAAAGTAATTGAAAAGAATAATAACTTATTCATCATGTATTGATCAATTTTGACATATTAAAGATATGATAAATTACAATTATATGTTATAATGTAGTACAGTTAATTATAGGCCTCTAATCTCGAATTCAGACTAAGAGAGAAATTGTTCAAAGAGATGTCTTACAATGATTTCTCATTTTTTAATGGTCACCACACCTAGTTGTTTCATAGAGGACACTATAAGTTATAGGAATAGATCAACTAAATTGAATGTATGCGAAAAAAACAACTGATCTTAACAACAAAGTAGCATTCTACACGTTAATTAAGCTTTCGAATCACTAAGTTAATATAGTTCTACTCACGATATTTATATTTAACTCCTGATTATAAAAACAAATGGCTCGAAACAGTAAATAGTTGTGCAGTGTGAGACGACAACTTGTAAAGTAGGTCCACGCGGATCCAACAACAATGACCAAGAGTTAAATGAGCAATCAATATCACTAAAACGATTCATTTCACTGTTATCTTCTTTATATTTATCTGAAATTATCAATGAAAATATGAGAAATTTGTTTTTGTTTTTCAAATCAATTAAATTTCATAACTTATTTATATTTTTAGATAAGATTAGAAAAAGAAAGATCTTATATGTATTTCTTTCAATAAAATGTTGAAGAACCTTCACAATTAACAATAATCGAGAATACAAATAAAAATTAAAATAATTACGGGCATATATTAATAGGATGGGTGTGGGTGAAATAGAATAATCATATCCTAACCATCTGCATCTGTAATCATCTCAGTTTATAGTAATTTAATGTTTTAAAATAAATTCTTACAAAGAAGATCGACCTTTTCCGATCATGATTGTTTATCAGTCATACATTTGCAATATTTAACACGAGTTTTTTTATGATAATTAGATAAAAAGAATTGAATTCTTATCAAAATCGCAAATATTGACTCAAACTTTATATCAGAATCGATACATGACTACTATCTATTGATATAAATTTGTAGTCTATCTCAGTTGTTTATATTATTTAAAAAAAAACATTTCTCATATTTAAAACAAATTCTCATTCAACGCTCAGCCAAAAAAAACATTGCCACGGCACACTTTCACATTGAAATAGTATCGAAACATATAATCGAATGAACAACAAATCCATTATTATCTCATCAATACGATAAATGTAAGTGCACATATAACAGAAACTATTTCACTGTTGAATCTATACAATCTTTCAAATCAAATCAAAGTCCATCGAAAGTTTGACTTGAGTGCAAACGTCAACATCAGTGAGGAGACTCAATACGAAAAGATGAGTATTATTGTATATCTGTCTATTCTTTAGCTATATCATCATCTTCATTCTCAAGATAATTATCCTGTGATATTCTCTATGCTCAGTTTTCATATTATTTCCAAAAAACTAACTTACCTAAATGAAACTATGTCAAACAATTGAATTTCTAAACTTGTGATGTTGTGTATAATTATTTCGATATAAAATAAGAATTAGTTTGTATGTCTCAATTTGAATTTCTTTTTCGGTGAATAAATTCTTGTGACTGCTTTGTAAAACCATAACATTTTATATTTCGTGTGTTTCTTTGCAACTATACATTTAATTGGAAAAAAGAAATATGACAAAACACTTCACGTGAAGAAAAATAACAAAAATCCCTTTTTATTTTTCATCAAATCAATTTTTAGTATTTGATAATGAAATAATATTGAAAAATAACATTTTTGAAAGTAAGAAATAATCTCAAGTTGCTATTCATTTTTCTCTATACATCTAGTATTATTTCACTTGTTTGTTGTGCTTGCTTTTCTCTTTTTGTAACTGAACAACTTGTGTGCTGTTAGGATCTGATGATTATCAGTTTATGAAGAAAAGTAGAAAATAATTAATTTCAACTAAAAATAACATTTTCATTTTGTTAATTAAAGAAATTGCAAATCTGAAATAAATTTTTCAACAAAAGAAAACTTATTAAAAATAAAAACATTGATAAATATAATGATTTAACTGAGAAAAAAGAACAATATCGAAATAAATAAATAAGATATAGTCGAGTTTAATGATAAAACGAAAGTATTTCTCACCATATTAAACATACGAAAACATGTTTAAAAATTTTTATATTGTTTAAAATGAATTATTTCATAGAAGTTCTATAAAAATTTTAATGTGGCACATCTTTAAAATAAACTTTAGCCATTATCATATATATGTGAAAATTGAATGTTTGTTTAAATAAACTGTTTAAAATTTTTGGATGAAAAATATTTTTATAGGAAATACAAAAATAAATTTATTTTTATTTGTAAAAGATTAAATAAAATATTTTCAATGATTAAATATCATAATCATAGGGTGTAGGTGGATGTAAGTGTCTCAAAAGTATCATGCACATACCCATACTCCTTTTATCTTTATATAAAAATTTAGTTATTTTAAATTTTTGTGACATGTTTCCTATGACAACGATTCAAACGCCTAGTTTTTTTATCTTTCATCAAAAAGTCATATTTCTTCAACTGTATTAAATTGAAAATTAATGTTGCCATTTTAATTGATTGTCTTTATCTTCTTGACAGTCGTTTCGATTCTTTAACAATATCAAATATCAATGTGGGACAAAGTTTTGATCCAATAATCATTATAGGTTCAAAAGTAAGTAGAATTTCTATAAAGATTTTCTTCATAAAACAAACTTAAATTTTATCGTATAGAAAGAACTTTTCAAATTGAAATATTTTTTTATTTACCTTTTCTATTTTAACATGTTATTATGATATACTAATTGTTTCATTACTTTATCGAATGATATATCTTGAAGAATAAAAATTATATCTATTATTACAAAGATTTAACTCGACTTATATTGATGATAATCAATTATATGATCAATTTCTTATTTATTTGATACAATTAAAAAAATTCACATTTTTATCAAAAACAAAATCGTTAACGATCCGGTTGAAGTTGAACTTCGATCAAATAAAGATATTCCAGATAGTTTTATTGGTAGAAGATACGGTGTGGGTGGTCGGTGAATACAGTATCCATATCCACACCCACACCCTTCATATGATCAAATATATTTTAGTTCGAGATTACAAGTAATTGTTTAGGATCTTGATTAATAATATAATATATAAATATTTTTTAGTAGATAAAAAAGTTTAAGCTGAAAATTTAATCATAATTTTTCTTCCAGTATTATCATTATCTGTTGATTCACCATCAATGATTTCAATTTTTGTTTTTCGATCTAACCAAAATTGATTTTGTAAAAAGTTATTTTCAATTAAAGCTTGAGCGATATCCATTTCCATATAAAATAAGAGTATATGTAATGTGAATTGTTTAAGTTTTAATAAATATTTTTCAATTAAATCTTCCCATTTATAACTATCTAATTCATCATAGTTTGTGGGAGAAAAATAAAGTATTAATTTTTTTAAATTAGGACATTGTTTCAATAAGATAACAAGTAATTCTAGTGTAGATGAATCTACTGATAAATCACAAGCAATTAAATTTAATGATAAAGGATAATCAGTAATACGTCCACTTAATCTAATATTTGCACATAAGTACTGAAGTTTTGGAAAACGTGAAAGTATGTTTTCTATATCATTAATTTCTATGTTAAATATGGATAAACGTTGCAGAGTTGAAGATATTTCTGTTGATGACAGAGAATCATTAAGAAATACTTTTCCACTACGATAAATAATTTCATTACCCTTTGATGCCAATAAATATAAGTATTTTAATGATCTAAAACGAGAACAAAAACTATAAAGAACAGTTCTGCACATATCTGATGCTTTTTCTACACATAAATCAGATCGAAATGATATTACCAATGTTTTTAGATTGTCTAACTGAAAATGTTGTTGAGTTAGTGTATGCATGGTATGTAATCCAATCGAATCAAACATTAATGTATTTAAAGAAACCATACTGTTCAATAGAAAACAACTATTATCTAAAATTTGATCTATCTGTTCATCATAATATTCATTAGATAATATAAGACTATTCACATGTGAACAATTTATAGTTGAAAACATCTTGAATAAAAAAGAAATTACATATAAATATTAAATTGTAATTCATAAAATAATTACCTTTCGACTTTCATTGAATGTTGTTTCGCTTATATCGATATATTTCATGCCATAGGTTAATATTAATGTTGATAAACGATGATTAAGACCATAAAATGCTTTATAATTATCATAGCCATTCATATACGAAAATATTTCAAGAAATATTTCAGGTGGAAAAACTTCTAATGTAGTGGTTGATATATTAGACATTTCAACAAATAATAAGAATTGTCTGTTTTATAGATTGTAGTCACTTCCGATCAAATATAAAAATTGATTTATTTTAATAAATACACCTGTCTTGTGATGCAAAAAAGAAATAACCAACTGATTTTTTTTTGTTTACATAAAATGAGTCACCTGTTTTTATATGTTCTCTTCTTTTTCACGATATTTTTTTTCTAAAATCCAAAATATGAAGAATATTTTATTTAATCATATAAAAAAAAACAGGGAAAAGAATATGAATATATAGAAAAGTCCAATGACAATGTCATTACATCGCAAGAAGTATTACTAACAAATATGGAAATCCGCTATATAATACTATACAATAAAAAATTCAAATGTTCCACACAAAATATGTTTAGTTTAGAAAATATGAAGTAAAGAACTGCTACAAATATCATTTATTCTTAAATTACGAAATTTCAAACTTACTCATAGGTCATCTTCAGACAAATTATTCATTTGAGATGAATATCTAATTTTCTTTCGTAATAGCAATAGGTACATATGCAAGTACGTTCACTGGTATTCTTTCTTATCACCATCATATCATCAAAAAAAAGAATCACATCTTTAGCATATACTATCTCATAGAGAATGAACTGTAAATTACTAATCAGAAGTATATGTTATGTTTCTTCGGACTCGTCTTCTACTGAGAAATATTTTATCATAAACTAACAATTGAAGAAAAATCAAGATTTGTCGTTCTAGTCAAGTGAAAAACAACTTTTACAACTATTACATGTCAAATATTTAGATATATTGATTTAATTGTAATGACTATTTTCAAGAAATTTACTTAGAAAAAAAATGCGCTTCAGTATATTTCTCATTGAAATATATATATCATCTAATTTTCCTTAGTTTAATATTTTAATTTTAACAAAAAAGAAAAACAATGAAAAAAATTTATGAATAATAATAATAATACTTTATTAATTGCTAACCAATGGCAATTAGAACGTCAATTAGGTTCAGGTTCATTTGGTGATGTTTATCGAGCATTAAATATTCAAACAGGAGAATATGTTGCCATTAAACTTGAAGCAAATAATTCTTATTCACATCAATTAGCATTTGAAGCGAAATTATATAAATTAATGAAAGGTATACAAGGCATCCCAAAATTATTCTGGTAAGATTAATAATAAACATATATATATATATATATTTGATATTTTTATTATAGGTTTGGTGAAGAAGGTGAATATAAATGTTTAGTTATTGAATTATTGGGACCATCCATAGAAGATTTATTTAATTTATGTCAACGACAATTTTCATTGAAAACTATTCTAATGTTAGGTGATCAGATGATCTTACGTATAGAATGTTTTCATAGAAAATTTTATCTTCATCGAGAGTGAGTCAAAACAAAATGGATACATATTTATATTGAATTTTATATTAGTATTAAACCAGATAATTTTCTTGTTGGTATTAACAAGGATTCGACTAAGGTCAGTTCTAATATGCTTTATGTATATAATTTTATCGCACTATTAGATCTTTCTCATCGATTTTGGTCTAGCAAAAAAATTTTATGATCATCGCTTACACAAACATATTTCATATAAAGAAGGCAAAAGTTTAACAGGTACCCCACGATATGTTTCTGTATGTATTTATTTGAAAAATAAGAATTAATACTTTCTTTCTTTCTCTTTTCGAGATTTCAACTCATCTTGGTATTGAACAATCACGTCGTGATGATATGGAAGCACTTGCTTATGTTCTTATCTATTTTAATCGGTTTGTATATCTCTTCATTTGATTCTTACAAATCTCGATTTTATTAGAGGTACTCTACCATGGCAAGGTATAAAAGCAATAAATAAACGACAGAAATATGAAAAAATTTGCGAATTAAAAATGTCTATTACAATTACTAATCTTTGCGCTGGTTTTTCACCTGAATTTGCAATGTATTTAAATTATTGCCGTCGATTGTATTATACAGATGAACCAGATTATTTTTATATACGACAAATTTTTCGTAATCTATCTTTTCGTCTTAATTATCAATATGATTCTATTTTCGATTGGATTCTATTGAAAAATTCATTATCAACAAATTTATCATGAATTCTTCACATATAAAATTGATTCGTATAAGATGAGGTCATTACGTACACTTTTTCATATGATCGATACGCATGAATGCATATGTAAAGGAGTCTCGATTTTATTCTTCTTTCTTGTTTTCGATGCAGCCATCGACTAAATAAATGTGCACAGACCAATTCATCAAAAGTATGTGTTTTTTATCTTTATTAATTTAAAATAAATTCATTGAAAAAATGTTTATATTATCTTAGTAGATCATTTTTTCCCACCCACTATCAACGATAGTTTCAACTAAAACGTTACAAAACTACTGTTTATTTCAATGCAAGTATTACAATAATATAATACGATTTTGTAAAGTCGTTTTTTACTGGTAAAGTTAACAAATCTTAATCAATATTTATTACTCGATTAAATTATTTATTAGATATGTAGTTTAATCTATTCAGCGGTATCCATTCTCTACACGGATCGACCTTGCCAAATCATATTATTTTATTAAAATACAACATTCATTGACATTTATCTATGTAAGTCATTTTTGATATTTATTTTATTAATAATCTACTTCTTTGATTTGAAAAGCGATTAACATATTCAAAAACTTGATATCATATCTGAGTAAGTAATTACTTTTGTAAAAAAATTCATTACTAGTTGCTGTTTTTAGAGATATATCCGATAACTGATTTAAAGCATGAATTGCAATAAATCACGCAAGCCATTCAGTTAAAACGTACGTTAAATCACAACACAAATATAGATGATTTTTGTTGACACAATCTCCAAAATGGATTCATGGTTTGTTGCATCATTATTTTGAGTTTCTCGTACCACCAGCGGTTTTATTTGTTAAAATTATATCTGTCATGTCTAAACTGTACTTCCCGCATACCAGATCGGCAAAGGTAATTAAAAAATATATTATATACTATTGAAGTTAATCTGAACTTAAAAATAATTTTTTCCAGATAAAAAAATCTATAAGCTAAATCTAGTCTAGAGTTTTGAGTTCATCACCTCACTATTCAGATTATCAAAATGATGATCTGATAACGTTGGAATGTTGACAATAATGTAACAGATCTTAATGAAATAAATTAAAGCTTTCAGCACATCAAGTGCCATCGTTATTTTATTAAGATCTGTTACATTATTGTCATCATTTATAGTTATACAGACAAACATACATAGTGTTCTATTAATTGTGTATTTGTTATTTGTAATTTCAGCGATATACAATTGTAGTTCATTATTCTTGCATTACAGTATTTTTACGACTGACGATGGCATTTGATGTGTCGAAAGCTTTGATTTATTTTATTAACGATGGAATGTTATATAACTTGATAAATCTTCAGTCAGTTCAGATAATAAATTATTTTTTATTTATTTAGAACATGGCTCGTAATTAACTTCGCAGCATATTTTCCAAAGCCAAAAATTTAACTTCAAAATCCTACATCATCAACGACTATTTCGATAAATTATATATTTACTTATACTTATTATGTATGTACCACATCTTCTATATACCATCCCCTTTTCCTCCGCATATTCATCTCGTATTATAATCCAACTATTGATTCAAGCTAGTTATATGTTGTAAGTATTTTATTGTTTTTTTTCTCTATTCGTAATTTTTATTATCTTTTTCGAAGAATCCATAAAATAATCAAACGAATTTATTCTAACAACACTGGTGATTCAGCAGTAATCTGTAAATAGATAACTAGAAATACATTACTCAGAATTCAATTACGATCTTTCATCCAAATATACGATCAATGATGCCCAAGCGGATTAATATTAAACAATACAGTTTTAATATGAAATAAAAAAGAAAACTATCCATAAAAATTCGTACTTTCTCTTTATTGAAGGTATAAATGAATATATTAATTGTTTTATCAATGTTTACATTGATAAATATAATCAATTTATTGTGAATTCTTCTATTGTGAAATAAATAAATATTTTTAATCAAAAAAAAACATTCTTTCTATCTGAACCAAAGAAGAAGAAGAAAAAAAACAATCACATAAATATGTCGATAGTATCAATTAAATATTTACAATCGATACAGCTAAAAAAACAATTCTAACGAATATTATTCATTCGGTGTTACAGCTGTTAAAGATTCAGTTGCTATGCTATTATTATTATTCTTATTCAAATGTGATTGATGAAGATATTGATATTGTGAAAGTTGATCAGCATGACAATAATCATATGGTGAATCATAATAGGGCTAAAATAATAAAATTAAGATACTATAACTTATTACCTTGTATACTTACAATGATTGTTGCTTCAGAATTATTGAGTACATCTAAAGATTAAAATATAAATAGATGAATGCATACGTTATTTAAATCTACCTGTTGTCTGTTCTATTTCGCCGCCAACACCACCTTTGTAATGTAGATATGAAATAACTGAATCAGGTATTGGTTTTATTGTTTTTTTATTTGTTGATGGTGTTGCTGTTTTAATGGGTGGTTTTGCAGTTAAACCAGTTGACATTAACATCATTTGATTAGTTAATGTACGTTGATTATCATGTATTTTTGATCGATGTTTTTTTATATCATTATTACAACGTTTTGTTGTAGCTCCAGATGCCGCTAAAACACTATTCGATGATGTTTTTAGTTTATTACCTTTATTTGTCGAAGATGATTTATTGTTTACACGAGGTTGAGTATTCGCATTTGAACGAGTTTTTTTCGATGAAGAACGAGTTTTCGGTGTTGTAGGAGGAGCTCGAGAATTTAGTGGAGTTTGCGGTATTAGATTAGTCGAAGGTGGTAATGGTGGATTTGGTTGAACGAAAGAACGATTAATCGGTGCTAAAAAAAAGATACTAGAGAAACATTCGAAATTCTTCTATTCAATTTACTATCGTTATCGTAATGTTCAAAATCATCTCGCCATTTGACTTTGCTTGGTGTATTCACTGCTATTGGCCGATTTTCTATTGTTGAATTAGCTTGTGTATGATTTAATGGACGTTGTACACGAAGAATAACCTATTCAAACAAACATAAATAAAATATATATTTTTTTGTTTTTGAACATACTGGGTAAGGTGATGCATAACTAAGAATAGTTAATGCATCTTCATACACAATCGAATCGAAACATACAGTTAATGCCATGATACGATCACCTATCAAATAAATTTCAATAGAATAAAAAAAGCTCATGTGAATTTAAACCTGTAGCTAATTGATTCGATGCTGAATTTGATTTTTTTTGAGCTTGTGAAAAATTTTTATCAAGTATTTCTTTAATAAATATTCCTGCACGCATATTTCCTGTGATACTAAAATTAAGACCACCAAATGTTGGATCTAATAATTCAATATCAATCATTTCGAAATCCTAATGAAAATTAAAAGCAACAAGAAAAAAACAAGAAAGAAATTTAAAACAAACTTGATCCATATTCACTGAACGAAATGAAGATGAAATACGATTTAACCAATCAATACGATTATAATGACTATTTATACTTGAAGTTTGGGAATGACGAAATGGAAATGTACCAAACTAGAAATAGATAATTAAAACAAAAAAAGAAATTTTATGTTTTTTACTTTATAAGCAGTAACATCAAGTGGTAACGGATTAGCATTATGATCTAATCATAAAGAAGAAAAAGAAATAAATTAACGAATTAGTTTCTTAGAAACAAACCATCGTTGATCTTTTGTTTTCGTTTAGGAGTCAATGAAGACGAAACAGCAAATTGATGATGTTGTTGTAAATTTTTTATTTTATGATTATCATACATATGTTTATAATGTAGTTCTATGAAATAAAAAAATCAATTATTAAGAAATACAAAAATTAGAAAAAAAAAACCTTTAAATTTTGGTCGTAAATAAATTAACCATGTAAGAAATCCAATCAATGCTGATAATAATAATGTACCAATAATTGAACCAATTAACGCTCCATTTGTTACACATGATGAATCTAATTTATTTGATTTTTGTAATGCCGGAGTTGTTATTCCTGTACCACTAAGTTCAAGAAAAGGATCAACTAGAACACTACCAGTAACAACTGTAGTTTGACTTTGAACTAAATCAATTGACATTTGTTACATGAATTGAACTAGATAAGATAATTATATATATAAGAATAAATGAAAGAAAGTAATGTGTCAATGGTAATTTTTCATTCTACCTGGAATTGAGGATAAAGAAATATACATAATAAAAAGAAAAACATGTGTTAATTCACACGTTTTCTTTTATCGATGTGATAGAAAAAGTACTCGAATACATTGGCTTATGAAATCGAACGAAAGAGATCGTTTAATGAGCAAGCAAGGAAAAAAAAGATAGGTAAATATTACGTGATCGGGGACAAAGAAGAGTAATTAAAACAAACGATATTGCCTTCCATTGTCCGATAGCTTACATCACAGTAGTCACTACTCACTTTTGACTGCAAGTGGGTCCTTTTTTCTTTCGTTCATCTGTTATTTTTGCTTTCTCTCTCTTTCAATATAAATAAAAATTGTCAATGTTATTCTCAACTGTATTAAACAAAATAATCATTCAATAGTGATTCTCTTTTTCTTCGAAGGCAATTTTGTCTGTTGGTATAGTTATATTTGATTAAAAGAACAGTAAGTCAAACCATAAAATTCCCTTAAGGTCACGTATACAGTCGACCGATGGTTTACAATAAAAGAAAATATACGAATCAATCAAGTTAAAGTGACAAAAAAAAGAGAGAAATCTTTGATAAATTTATTATATAATATTTATAGGAAAGGCTGTTATTGAAAATTCACCGATAAGTCTCGATGAATTCAGTGAGATCTCTCCTTGGTATTTTATTTTGCATCCGTTTCCAGTAAATCAACATATATATCATGTCAACCACAGAATAGAATGCACATCTGTTATGCAGATTCGAACACACGACTATTCCAATTTCAACTACTAAATCCATTCGACTAATGTTCTATTTTATATGTTCAGGTATTCAATGTATTGAATGTTATAGTTCTAATTATGTTGACATGATCTCACTCTACTTCATAGTATTTTGAATGTAGAAGTGAACCCCTAATGTGAAGTTCTATTATGATGATATAATTATTTTTGCGGGTGTTTGACGTTGTCGTTGATTAACTTTGATATGAATAAAAAGTGGATGAATTCGAGAAATATAAATATAATTATTTTGAATTAATTGTAAAGCTAATGTATTATCAATAGCCATTTGAAAATAAAATTGTATAAGTTTTGGTACGTGTTTATGTAAAATAGGACCTAATAAATTGATATTCAATTGTTTAGGATATTGATGAGGACCATGAATAATTAAATGTGTAAGATTTGATAGAGGTGAAAGTAAAAAATTAAGAAGTTCACATATTGATACACTACGAATAGCTAAACATATTTCGAATTTATGAAGAAATAAATGAGATGAATATTGAAGTGATAATGATTTTGTTAAAACATCGAGAATTAATTTGAATCGATTTAAATATGGACAAAAATAAAGAATTTTTGGATAAATATTTACATCTTTTGTACAAATAGTTAATGAACGAAGTAATGGAAGAATCTTCCATTGATATTGTTGATTATCTATAACTTGACCGATTTGACAAAGACGAAGATTAGGAAAAGAATTTGTCATAATATCATCGGATAATTGAATTAAACAATTATTATTCCATTGTGTATTATGAACAATACATATAAGTTCAAGGTTTGAAAGATTTTTTAATGAATATTTTTGAAAACAATTTGGTTTATCAAGAATTTTAATTGAACGAAGCGATTGAAATGATGATAAATCAATTGAATAATAATAATTAATACTTAATCGAGTAATACGAGAAGAAAAGAAGTTTATAGCAAAAAAATTAATATTTTGATTTGATGCAATTGTTGTTGAAATATTTGTATAAGACATAAGAATTGTTGTTAGATAATTGTTAAGATTATAAAAACTTTTATATAATTCTTGTATTGATAAATAATCAAATATTTCTAATTTTGAAGTAGTCATTTGGGTTTAATCGAAAATTTAACTTCAATATCAAGAATATAAAAACAATGAATGGTCTTTGAGAACAACCAATCTTTTGTTAATAGATCATTTACACTACTCTACGAATATCTTTGTTTATCACAGCGACATCCTTTTCACTTCATTATTGTTCTGTATACGTGATCTAATTTTTCGATTAATTTAATATAAAGACTTGTTTCATTTAGTCTAAGAAAATATTCGTATGTTATACTAACGAAAAACTCTTCTAAATAAATTATATTATTCGTATATTAATATCGAAAACGAAATCGTGGAATACTAGCATGTTATAACAAGTCTCTATATGGAAGTCTTATAAATTTTACCGCCATCTGGAATTTGATTACTTCATCGTACTGATTTTCTTCTATATTTAAGAAAAAAAAGAATTTCAAATATTTTATTTTTACTAATCGACGTCTTCTAATCGAAAACACGTGTCCGTGCACATGTTAGAAATTTCTAGATTCTTTAAACTGCACGTATCGAACCCTGAAGAGAAATGCGCCTTGAAGGAATAGCCTATTTCTTTTTTCTTTCTCTTTGCTTCTATATGTGCACGTTAAGTACGAATAATAGGAGACAATGAATTTTCTAGATTTTCTTATTGCGCACTTCATTTATCAGTATATAAGCAAACGTTAACTTAAACGAACCATCTATATTTTAGAAACTATAACTATTACTACAATTCTACGATAAAAATGTCGTCAGGAGGACAAAATACAAATAATAATCAAGCTGGTGTAATTCCAGCTGGAGATCCAAATCAAGTTATTCCAGCCGGTACTGTTGGTGTTAATCCACAAAGTACTCTCAATCCAAATGGTAATTATCATATTCATTTTATTTAATATAATATTAATTATAATTTTTTATTAAGTTCCACATACTAAAGCTGACTTAGATAATCATTCTAATCAATTAAATCCAAATAATCCAAGATATTCAGGTCATCAAGAACGTCTTGCTGCTGAAGAAGCTGCTCGTGAAGCCGCTGTTCTTCATCAACAAGCTCAAGCTGCATATCAATATGCTAATCAAATGGAAGCTAGTATGTTCTTTTCAAATTTTCTATTATAAATTTTTTTTATTATATTTTTATTATTAGCTGCAATTCAAGCACAACAAGCTGCTGCACAATTAAGTCAACAAGCTACATTTTGTGCGCAACAAGCAAGTGCAGGCTTAAGTAATCGTGGTGGTATGTTTCTATTACTATTTTGTTTTTAAATTCTATACATATTTTGTATTTATTAGGCGGTCGAGGACGTGGACGTGGTCGAGGTAATTATTAGATAAATTCGATTAAGAAGATTTAAATATTTGTGTTTGTAGGTAGAGGCCGTGGACGAGGTGGTCGCGGTGGCAGTCAAAGCGGTCAACAAGGTGGTAATAATGATAATCAAGAAGGAGAAGAAGGTGATTATGATGAAGGTGACGAAGGAGATTACGAAGAAGGTAAATAATGCTAATAAAATAGTAATCTTCTTTTTCATCTAATTTCCATTTATTCAATAGGCCATGAAGAAGAACAACAAACGTCTGATAATGCTCAACAATCAACTGGTGGTAATAATCAAGCATTACCACAACGACAAACCAATCAATCATGAAATTAATCTATATATATAATAGACTATTGATGTGAAGGTTGTTTTATTTGTTATTATTCCTGTACACTTAATGATAATCTAGCCGTTTTGTTTTGTTTTTGTTTTTCTTTGTAGTTTATTAGTTATTTATCTTTCTCAATAAAAAAAGAAAGAGTAAAATGAGATTAAAAAAAATTTTGCTTGCAATGATGATCTATTCGTTAGATTTGATAATGATTTACATGAAAGTATATATATTTCATGTAAATAAAGATTATCATTGTGAAATGAATATATCGAAAAGATTAAAAATAGAATTAATGTATTATAGTTTTGCTTCAATATGTTTCCTATTGAAATTAAAAGTAACTATTTATAGGACATAATATAATAATAGTAAATGTTTTTGTGTGATGTAAAAATAGAATAGAGGAGAAAAAAAATAGTCTTGTTTTTATTTGTCGTTTTTTTCTTTACTTTTTCTCTAATCAAAAACGGAATCTATATTTACCATTTTTTACTATATTAAGACCAATACGTTTGGCATACTTTATCTAAACAAAATAAAATGACTAATGTATCAACACATGAAAAATGCGAATGTATTATGTGTAAAAATAATACTACAACAATGAGTGTTGAAGAAGTCAGTTACATATATTTCAATAATAAATAAATAATTATTATTTATTTTCAGTGTCTTAATGCTCATCATAGATTATCTTTAAATGAATTAATTCATTTTATCGATTTATCTCTATCGAAATGTGATGAATTACGTGATCAAATCGATGCTAGTTATACATCATCATGTTCAAATAAATATCCTCGTTCATTAATTATATCACTACTTAAACTTTACTCATCATTTCATCCTCATGATTGGCATAAATATGAATATTGGAATACAACTGATACTTATACAAGAAATCTTATAGCTCATCATCCAGATCGTTTTACAGTAATGCTTGTTTGTTGGAAAGGTGGTTCATCACCTATTCATAACCACGCTGGTAGTGACTGCTTAATGACTATTGTACGAGGTGTCGTACGCGAAATAAAATATCATACACCAAATACTGAACATAATATCGAGAAATTAGATATCAAACAAATAATGGAATTACACGAAGGTGAAGTACATTTAATTAATGATCAAATTGGTTTACACAAAATGGAAACATTAAATGAAAATACACAAGCCGTAACTCTACATTGTTATATTCCTCCATATTCCGATTGTTTTACTTTCGATTCAGAAGACGATAAAATCAAGATAAATATCACACATACAACATATGATACAGAATATGGAAAAACTACTTAATTCTCGGAAATACCATATATAGATTCTTTAGTTAGTAACGTTTCATATTCATATAACATTTATATTTAGTTAGAAAAAATATGATCAAGTTTAATATAAAAAAAAGTATTTAATTGAATTAAAAAATATATTCAGTATTGAAAAGTCATGTAGTTAAAATTTCGGTTTATCTTTTTGCGCATGATTTAATGGAAGAAAAAATTTATTTTTATGTAGATAATATTGTGCAAGTCGAATTCGACCATATTTAACATAATCAAATGTTGATCGAGGTTTCGTAAGTAATGCTTGTAAAAATGCCCATAGTGCCCAATAAAGATGAACAGGTGCAATAAGTAATCCACATAAATCACATAATTGATCTAATTCAAGATCGGATGGTTTAAGATGATCATATATAATACTCGATAGATTTAATGTCGTATTTTTTAAATATTCACGAAGAAATTGTTTTTGTATTTGACGTGAAGGATATTTTCGTTCAAAATCTTCACTTGCTAATTCAAGAAAATATTGTACAATATCAATAAGACAATAATTTTGTGAACAATGATCAAAATCTATAATTGATACTTCTTTTGTTTTTGAATCAAATAAGAAATTATTTATTCTCATATTATTGAGACCTAATACAATCGGGATATCAAATGAAGACCAATTTTTTTCAAAAATTGTTCGAATACAATCAATATCATTTGAAAGTTCAGTCCAAGAAATATCTTTTAATTGTAATTGAAGTTGTGCCATTGTAAGTGGAAATATTGGTGTTGTATTGAAACCAATAACGGATTTAAATGAATTTAAAAAATTTTTATTATAATAACCAGATTTTTCTTTTTCTTTTTGAATTTTAACAAGACGAGTTCGTAAATTTTTACTTTTATCAGTATATAAATTAATCAAATGTTTAAGTTTATCGACGAAATCTGGTCCTTGAAATTTATTTGGTATTAAATGTAGTTCAGCTATTTTTCGAGCGATTAATTCACTAGAAATAATATAACATTAAATTGACTATTCAGAAAAAATATATTACAACTTACTGCGTTTCTTTTTCTTTAATATCCAATGTTTTTCCTTCGATATAACTCGATATGTATCCATTTGTAAATTTTAATAAAATCGGTGCTGCTGTTTTATTTTGAATAAAATGATTTAATAGACGAAATTGTTCTTGATAATCAGTATATACATCTGCATTAGTTGGATTAACTCTAATAATAACACTACTTTGATCATCTTCATTATTTTTTAAAGAAATTGCATAACAAATAAAATGATTATCATCAGTAAATTTTTTAAAAATATATTTTTTTAATGCCCATCTTGGTTTAATTAAACATACGAGACGAGCAGCATTTGTTTCGACTGCGTTTACATCGATTTCAACTGTTTCATTGGGTATTGTTGTTGATGTAGATTTAGGTATTGTTGTTAACGTGGACATTTTTTCTTTTATGATTAAGATGCATATGCAATTGTGTATTTACACAGTATCGATCGATGAAGTGTGACGAGAAAAAGAACAATTGGTAAAAAATAAAAATAACTTTTTTATCATATACTCAACGATCCAAACGAAAAGAGATGAGTCAATA